TGTGTGTGTGTGTATGCACTCGCGTGTGTATGTGAGTATATATGAATATCTGTGTGTATGCTTAGCGCAGTCGTACATACATATTCGGACGCTCTCCTACTCTGTCCAAAATACTCGCGTTCATATATGTGGATATGAAAGTTATGTCATCAAACTTTGCGTTCATTAAGGCTGCGTTCGCTGTCTATAGGAAACACAGCACATTTCTGCCTCGTGTTTAGCGCCCGATGACGTCACGCAGGGTGTCAGGAGCAGCCTTGGCGTGTCACATGTATTGTGTCAGTAACTCAGGGTTGTATTAGCCCGACACGTCCCGCTGAAACAAGGAATGAAAGATAATGGAAAATGACAATAATTGGGAATACGATAATATCAAGGACGAGAAAGTTTATCGGTAATCAATGTGTTATAAAATAGCAGCTAGTTTTGGCTTACACACTGGAGGTGTCGATCACACGAAAGGCCTTCGGTAAAGGGGTCGTAGAGGTGAATATGGCCTGAATGTACTAAAGCAAATGAGAAATGCGTCATAAATTCCGACAGGACAAACTAAGAAAATTAATAATAACTCAGTCTGGGCCAAAAATATTTTCTATTTATCTTCGAGAAGGCTATGCTTATTTGCCTTTCGCGTCGGGGCAAGGCCAGAATAAAAAAAAAAAAAAAAAAAAAAAAAAGCGAATGCGAAAGAAAAAAAAGGACTGCTAAACCTCAAAGTCAGTGACAAAGTAGCAAATGTGAACTCGCATAAATAGTGCGAATTTACGATGGATTTTCACGAAAACAACTTTGCAAGAATAAATCAAGTAGTAATAAAAAGCTACATTCTCATGTCTAAAAAAAGGTGGAGGGCAGGCGGGGGGGGGGGTAGGGAGTCGTTGGTGGTGGAGGGGTTGTGGTGGGTAATGGGGAGGGGGGGGATGACCTGTGGAAGAGTGGGGGGGGGTAAGTGGTCTTGTGATACCATGATTTATGTAAATGAAAATTGAATAGAATTTTTCACAATATAAGTTATTAATTACCGGATCGAAGAGTAATTGCAGTTAGAAGAAAGGACATTCCCGACATCAAATCAAAATCCATCATCAAAATACAATATTGTTAATCAAGAGCCGTTATCAATCTAATATTCTAAAAAAGCATAGACTAATTCACAATAAACTGAAAAAGTAATGAAATATTTATATTTGTAACTATGGTAATAATGAAAGCAAAAGCATTATAATGACGATCATAAAAAATGATAATGATAATACCCAAATATATGATGATAAACAGTACTATTAATATTTGCAATAGTGATAATGATAATATTTATAGTAAAAAGAGTAGTAGTGACAGTAGTAGTAATGATAATTATAATGATAATTATGAGGATAGCAATAATGATGATAATAATAATAATTATAATGATGATAATGATAATGATAATGATAATGAAAATAAGGATAATGATATTGATAATGATAATAATGATTATGACAATAATGATAAAATTCATAACGATGATAACAACAACAACAAAACAACAAAAAATGATATTAACAGATCTATAACAAAAAAAATAATGCACCCTACACACTGCATACACACGCACAAACACATACACAGACACACACACACACACACACACACGCACAAAACACACACACACACACCACACACAACCGCGTCGTGAAAATAAAACGAATTTCAGAAAAAAAGAAAAATCCGCCCTCCCCCTCTTAGAAAAGAGAGAGAAAAAGACGGAAAATCTAAAATACGAAAAAAGAAGAAAAAAAAAATATATAGCCCAGCCCTGAAAAGGTGCCTCGTAGACGCCGAAATAAGCAATAGCAGAAAAAGAAGAAGAAGAAAAAAAAGAAAAACCGCCAACCCCCTCATGAAATAAATAAATAAAAATAAAAGATAGAGAAAAAAGACGGAAAAACCAAAATAGAAAAAATATATAGTCCCCCTGAAAAGGTGCCTCATAGAATCCGAAATAAGCAATAGCAGAAAAAGAAGAAGAAAAAAGAAAAACCGCCAACCGTCATAAAAAAATAAGAATAAAAGATCGAGAAAAAGACGGACAACCCAAACTAGAGAGAGAAGAGAGAGAGAGAGAGAGAGAGAGAGAGAGAGAGAGAGAGAGAGAGAGAGAGAGAGAGAGAGAGAGAGAGAGAGAGAGAGAGAAGAGAGAGAAAATATAAATATATATATATATATATATATATATATATATATATATATATATATATATATATAATACCCCCTGAAAAGGTGCCTCATAGAACCCGAAACAAGCAATAGCAGAAAAAAGAAAAAAGAAAAACCGCCAACCCCCTCAAAAAAGAAAGAAAAAAAAAAAAAAAAAAAGAGAAAAAGCCGGAAATCCAAAATAGAAAATAATATAGATCCTGAAAAGGTGGCTCGTAGAATCCGAAATAAGCAATAGCAGAAAAAGAAGAAGAAAGCAATAGCAGAAAAAAAGAAAGAAAAACCGCCAACCCCCCCATAA